AACGTGGTTCCTTTGCTGATGCTGGTGCATGGCATCGGTGCTTGATGCTTGGTGGTTCACAAACTGTTCTCGGGTGTGTTCTCGACTTGAAGAAGATCCAAGGAATTGTTACACGTTAGAGATTCAGAGTGTGATGCTAAGTGTAAAGTTGAATGGAGAGTTTTTTTTACTGTATCTTAGATCAACTTTAAACATTATCTTGTAATGTGTTTTTAACTTAGTGGATTGCTTCGATCTAGACAAGGTGCTATGGATATAGGCTAACAGGGGATTTTAGCATAATCATGTATATGACTGTATTCTTTATTTTCTGCACTTGTGTTTGATGTGGTTAAATTAGAAATGTCTTAATCAACTTAGTAATATTCCGCTGCACTTAAAATGGGTAACCATACACTAAAGTGAGTTAACTAAGAACTTACTCTCCCAACAGTAAAATATATCAAGACCAGTTCAAAAGATTTCTTCTATAAATAGAGTAGCTTGTCTTGCAGCATTTCTCACCTCTTACCAAGCACAATATTACTTACAGCCTAAATCAAAATGAAAGGTTTTCTTCAAGCTTTAGTTATCTTAGCTTTGGCTTCCTCATTTTGCCTCTGCTTTTGACCCCAGCCCTCTTCAGGACTTCTGTGTAGCCATCGATGAACCAAAGAACGCTGGTATTTACTCACTTCTCTTTCTGTATATTAAGTTAAGCTAGCTAATAACTCTTGTCCTGTATGTAACCAGGCATTAATTCTTACCGATTTGATTGTTTGATGCAGTGTTTGTGAATGGGAAGTTCTGCAAGGACCCCAAGCTCGCCAAAGTTGAGGATTTCTTCTTTTCAGTTAAAAATCCTGGAAACACAAATAACCTAGCTGGTTCAAATGTCACTGCTGTAAATGTGGAGCAAATTCCAGGACTCAACACGCTTGGCATATCTGCAGTCCGTATTGACTGTGCTCCTTATGGGCAAAACCCTCCTCATACTCACCCTCGTGCCACTGAGATTCTTGTTGTCTTGGAGGGTACTCTTCTTGTTGGTTTCGTCACTACCAATCCGAACAACACACTTAGCAAAGTTCTTAACAAGGGTGATGTTTTTGTGTTTCCCATTGGTCTCATTCACTTCTAATTCAATATCAAGAAAACAAATGCAGTTGCCATTGCTGGCTTAAGCAGCCAGAACCCTGGTGTGATTACCATTGCAAATGCAGTATTTGGATCAAATCTCCATTAATCCTGATTTCCTTGCAAAAGCCTTCCAGTTGGACGTAAAAGTGGTGAAAGATCTCCAGGCTAAGTTCTGAATGGATTGTAACTAGAGAATATATGTCAAAGATTCAAAATGCTGTGAAGCAGCAACTTATTAGTGAATAATCATGTCAGCAAAATTCTTGCTAAATTGTTGTAACAAAGAGGTTGCTAAATTTACTAAATTTTTATAACCAAGCAATCTCCATCTATCATCCTTTCTGATTCAGAAGGAGACCAAAGACTCCTGTTTTCTTATTCTACATATGGTCCAACTATGGAGACGGCTGGAGTTGGTCTTTATACTGTTATAAAATTTAATAATTAATGGTAATTATTTTATGATTTTATCTGTTGATTGTCAACTTTCATGTTATCATTTAAATGTGTCACACAATATATAGTTGGTTCTTCATTTTTCGATATTGTTATTAATTTAATTATTAAAGTATAGTTATGGTTATTGGTTATCCTTATTCAATACATACAACATATTATGAAGGCAAATTACAGGGAACAAAGGAATCACTCTTTTGAGAGTATACAACTTTTCCCACCCAAGGTTTGCCTTAATTACGCTTTCCCACCCAAAAGTTTCAAAATACCACTTTTCCACCCAAAGTTAATATTTCGTTACTACCCAAAGTTGACTCTGGCATCAAAAATTTTCTCTGTCACAACCATTTAAACCTCCGGTTTTTTATCTACAAAACCCCTTTTACTCTGACACCTGATTTCTCATCGATTGCCAGACACCACAAAGCTAGGTTTTCTTGTTCCTAGTTGATTTCCAATGGCAAATATTCAATCGATCACCATTATTTGATCCACTAGTCTCCACTCTATAAAATCTCTTTCACCTTGGCTCCTAGTAACTCACGAATGCTGATTGAGAAAGTGAAGTGTATTTGTATTAATGGCACATAAACTGTAGGTGAGAAAATATTATTTTGAAACTTTTAGGGTGGAAAAGTGTCATTAAGGCAAACCTTGGGTGGTAAAAAGTCGTTTAATCTTCTTTTGAAGATTTAATTGTATGTTTTATATGCAATGGACAAATTAGAAACGTAGATGGATCAAATACATTAATTAACAGTATTTGATTTTGATGTCTTTCACTTCACCTATTAAAACTTGCCCCATCAATTTTTGTAACTTCATCCTTTAAACAATCTAATGGATTGACCACTTTTAGTAGTCAACTTAATTGCATGCTTTTAATGAATGACAATATATAATATTACAATAGTCCAACCCCACCACCCCGCCCCCGCGCACCCCCCCCCCCCCCCCCCCCCAAAAAAAAAAAAAAACACAATTTGAATTCAGATATTCTATGTACAATTAAATTAAATCCATCCTCATTTGTTGATTAATTGTTTATCTATAGTTGCTACGTATGCTTATAAACTCCTAATGTGAAATTTTCAACCCTAGAATTAGTCTGACGTCAAGGAGATTTGTTCTATTCCTTGAGTTTTGGATTCAAACTTTGGGATTCTCTATCAATAATATTGTAGCTTACCTGGTCCTTTAGGCTTATAAAGGATTCAATACTCCGAGAATTAGTTAAGGTGCGCGCAAACTAGCTTGGACACTCCAGAACTACAAAAAAAAAAAAAAAGTGAATTTTCTTTATACGTAAAAGAATGAGGTAGAGGGAGAACATTTCTCTTAAATCAAAATTTCCATTCAAAGTTTCTTATGGTTGAGTGAATCCAGAGACGGCTGGTTTTAAGAATTGAAATTGAATCGAATCCAATTGAGTTAATATCAAGTCCGGCCGGCCAAGATAAGATTAACTTTTAAAGTTTTAATTTTTCCTCAAAAAAAGGGTTTAGTGCCTCCCAAAAATCAACCCTAGCTCTACCTGCTGTGCCCATATATGGTTGATTTTCGACCCTTTTTCCATCGTCTAGTCATAGAATATATATATAATTTCATTAGAGGAATCATGGGGTTCACACCAAAAGCCATAAGAAATAATCTCAAAAAGGAATTCTTAATATTATTGAACAACATAACACTTCATTTTTAGCTTTCACTGTGGACGAAGCTGGTTATTAGTCTCTTCTAGATATATAGGTGGTATAATTCTTTTATTGCAAATATATCATTCATCATGATGATCAATCTTTTAAACTTGGACAGGATAGGTCGGTTTGATCAATCTGATTGGGAACCAGACCCTTATTCGATTCGATTGGAAATCAGACCCTTATCCAATCCATATCCTAAACCCAATTATAGTAATTAGATCGGATTGACCTGAGATTGAACCGGTGGAACAATGATGAATCCTTAGTTCAATCATCGGGTCAGAGAACCCTGCCACATCATGCTGACATCACCGGTTCGATTTATGTTATATTGTTACTTTATTTTGTTAAATTGTTGTTTTTATTTATGGATTTTTGATTTATTTTATTTATGTTATATTTGTTTTTTGGATTTTGGATTTGGAAAATTACTAGAATTTTAAAGTTTTATTATGCCATGTTGATGTCACCGGTTCGACAGGCTAGTCCAATCGATTGGACCGACCGACCGACTGGGGAACTAAACCCTGACCACGTCACGGCCCGGTCCGGGTGTTACAACATTGATGTTGATGCAACTATTTTTACAAGCAAACTAATTAAAATGATCACTGAACTAGTTTGTTCAAGATTATCTTGTTAATGCCAATTTATGATATGCATCAGGCCACAATTTCTCTGAATAGACTCAACAGATATATGTTCACACACTCGTATTCTCCAATTCTAGTTAGATGGCTTTATTTAAGTTTTGTGGAAGCCTGATTGTGATTGATATGATCACCATCAAGATAATTAAGGATTGAGTTGGACAAAATGGAGATATATAGATACTAATAGGGTTCAAGTGTCTACAGACCGACCACAGTTTAATTTTAAACATTGTGATTTGTCACCTATTTTTAATTTCTTGTCAACCATTACATAATTACAAATTTTTTTTTTTTTTTAAAATCCGTAAAGGATTTTTTTTCAAGGTTGTAGAGATCAAAGAAGTGGAAATTCGGGTATATGGAAAAGAGATTAGCCGGCACGAAAATGAAATTAAGAAGGTTTAGGGTCACAATCCAGCTGAATTTGATGACTGGTCAGCTAATATACATCTTTTCGTAATTCCTTTTATTACGTTGCTTGATCGATATTTCTATTCCTTAATCTTGCTCTAATTATTTCTAGCATGGCTATGATTGTATATAGATAGAAACATTGAATTATTCTGCATAATCTTCACAACATATATATATATATATATATATAGATCTATATATAATATATATATATTAATATATATATATATATTATAATATATATATAATCTTATTTTTGAGCAAATACATGAATCTTGTTGTATTATCTGGGGTGACTAGATATCTATATAACAAAATCACAGATATGTGTAATCCATTCACTGTTTTCTTGGTAATGAATGTTGGATGATTAAGTCAATGAATTTTAAGGAAACATAAACCGGTAGCCCAGTGAGATACGAAAGCGCACGGACCAGTGCTATAGATTAGAACGTATTGATGTAAGCAATGAAGAAAAGAAATTTACTTAATTGACAATTTGATTTAGTTGTTAAAGACCTCCTCTTGATGGAAATTTAAAAAAGATAACACTTGGCAAGTCTTCATCATCTTCTTCGAGTGGGTGAAATAATCAAGACTACTGGTTCAATCAATTTTATCTATAAATAAACTAACTTGCCTTACAAAAAACATATCTCACCTTCACTACCTCCTACTCATCAAAATGAAAAGTTTCCTTTTGGCTTTTGCCCTCTTGGCTTTGGCTTCCTCATTTGCCTCTGCTTTTGACCCCAGTCCGCTTCAGGACTTCTGTGTAGCCGTTGATGACCCCTTGCACGGAGGTATGCCTCACTGCTCTTTCTGTATATTCTTTCAAGATTTTATTTTTTGTTTTCATGAATGCACATTGATGACATGCTTATTATGATTCTTTCATGCTTGCAGTGTTTGTGAATGGGAAGTTCTGCAAGGACCCCAAGCTCGCCAAAGCTGAGGATTTCTTCTTTTCAGTTAAAAATCCTGGAAACACAAATAACCCAGTTGGTTCAAATGTCACTGCTGTAAATGTAGAGCAAATTCCAGGACTCAACACTCTTGGCATATCCGCGGTCCGTATTGACTATGCTCCCTATGGACAAAACCCTCCTCACACTCACCCTCGTGGCACTGAGATTCTTGTAGTCCTGGAGGGTACTCTTCTTGTTGGTTTCGTCACTTCCAACCCCGATAACAAACTCTTCACCAAAGTTCTAAACAAGGGCGATGTGTTCGTTTTCCCCATTGGTCTCATTCACTTCCAATTCAATATTGGAAAAACAAATGCAGTTGCGGTTGCTGGTTTGAGTAGCCAGAACCCTGGTGTGATTACCATTGCAAATGCAGTATTTGGATCAGATCCTGCCATTAATCCTGATTTCCTTGCCAAAGCCTTCCAGTTGGACGTAAAAGTGGTGAAGGATCTCCAGGCTAAGTTCTGGATGGATGGCAATTAGAGAAATGATGTCAACTAATGCTGTGAAGTAGCAGCTTTTTAGTTATTTCTTTAAATAATGTCTGCAAAATTCTAGCAAAAATGGTGTAATAAAGAGGTTTCATATATGTGTACTCTGTACATATACGTACCCATCTATTTCTGTTCTTCGTTAATGATATAAAATTGCAGTTAACTTTTTTTTTCCTCGCTTGTTCTTGTCAATTGCTTTTTGGCCCATAACTTGTTAATAATCAACAATTTTAGATAGAGTAAAGATAGGTTAATAAACACTTTTCACAATTTTCTCTCGTAAACGTAACAGTTCGTAATTGATCAGTTTGTATTTAGTCAAGCAGGACCCATTATTAGGTAGACGAGACTCATTATGAGCTGATCAATTATGAGCTGACACATCACATTTGTGAAAAAAATTAGTGAAAAGAGTTTGTGAGTGTAGTATTTCTCGTTTAGATAAGAGACTATTTTGTCATTTATTCTTTAAATTCAATAGACGCATAATATTTATGTTGTATACATTTCATGCATATATGACTAAACACTTTAATATAATTTTGTCTCATTCACAGTATATTCAACTCATTTAGTACCTCTAAATAATTTTGTTTTAGCGAACTCATCCTTTCTATAATTGATGTACAAATTTTAAAAAATTCGGACATTTAAACCTAGCTAGTAAAATTTAACATCAATTATTTTAAACCATGAATCCAACTTTCAAGTAAGAATATAATAGTATTATTCAAGTGATCTTGAATTTGAGTCATTTCTCGGTTGCTAATAAGGGTGGCTACTAGAGCTTTTACTCGACCCGTAGTTTCAAAGTCTCGAGGGATTAGTTGAAGTACGCCTGATTTGGGTAATAAAGTGATATTTTTTTAAAGTATGCAAAAGAAAAATTGTAATTAAGTCATTATTTGGGTGGAAAAAAGTCGTTAAGTCTTGTTATTAATTTAAAATATAGAATAGATTATCAAGGCAAATTACAGGGATCTCAAAGGAATCATTCTTTTGAAGCTTTATATTTTTGAATAATGTTACGGACACCAAATACTGACACCGAAATTTTACACCGAATGACGTGTCATGCAACCACATAGCATATTAATAAATATTCCGTGAATGAACGGTCGTCCATCAAATATGGACGTGCGTTCATGATTATTGGACGACCGTTCACCTATAATGGACGCCCGTCCATGAGAAAATAACAATGGACAGGCGTCCACTTATAATGGATGCCTGTCCATTGTTTAAAATAAAAATCATAGACGCCCGTCCATATATTATATGGACAGACGTCCCTTTTTGATGGACACCTGTCATTGTTTAATTTAAAAAATTTTACACACAACATTTTACTCTCAATCAATATCAAAAAGTAAATGTAGTTATCCTTCATTAAATTTGTTGTCTATATTCAAAGTAATGGGACAAGTGTCATAAGAATATGGCCAAAACTATGCATTGCTTTCATGCTTTTTATTCTTATTAGATCCACCCAATATGCATTTATTGTTGTTACAATTTTGTTGAGACTATGAAATTTTTTAATTTAAACAATGGACGGACATCTATCTAATAAGGACGTCCATCTATTGTGATTTTTATGTAAAAAATTTTAATTTAAACAATAGACGGGCGTCCATCTAATAGGGATGCCCATCCATTCAGTAGGGACGAGCGTCCATAATTTTTGTTTTTAAATTTTTTTAATTTAAACTATGGACGGATGTCTATTATAGATGAACGACCATTTAATAATCACGAACGTCCGTCCATATTTAATGAACGACCGTTTATTTACGGAATATTTGTTAATATGCTATATAGCTGTGTAACACTTCATTCGATGTAAAATTTTAGTGTAAGTCTTCGGTGTTCGTAACATTATTCTATATTTTTTATATGCAACGGACAAATTAGAAACTTAGATGGATAAAGTACATTAATTAACAATATTTGATTTGATGTCATTTTCACTTCCCCGATTAAAACTTGCCGCGTCAATCTTTTGAAACTTCATCCTTTAAACAATCGAATGGGTTGACCACTTGTTAAACTAACTTAATTGCGTGCTTTCAATGAATGCAATCAATATCTCGAACGGTCAATCAAATGATATGAAACATCTGGTTTCTCATTCTGATAGATTTCTGGAAAACCATATGTCACGACCCTAGACGATTGTGCGGAGCACAGACGGTTGGCTCTAGCCATCAAAGAATTCAAGAAAATATAAAGAACAACGGAAAAACACTATTAAAAAAACTTATTTTCTTGAAAGAATGATTTTCTTAATCGTTTTAAGAAATGGCTAAAAATTGTAATTTTTGACAAATTCTTAACAGTTTATAAACCATAAAAAACTTGAAATAATTATTAACTGTTTTAGATGATTCTTAACCATTATTAACAGTTGTAGTCTATTTAAGTTTAAAAAAAAAAAAATTCACTACGTCAAAAGTTTCCCACCGCTCAAAAGTCAAAAGTTTCGCTAAGGCAAAATTTCCCACCCATTTCACCCTTTTTTTTTCACGGAGGCAAAGGTTTAGGGTTATAAAATATTAAAATATACAATAAAATAAAAAAACTGGATTCCCCCCAAAAAAACCAATATCTTCTGCCCAAAAACCAGAAAATTTTCCTTCTCTGCCGCCCAACATCTCTCTTTCTCGCTCTTCCACTGAATCGCAGAATCTCTCTACAACGCTGATTCATTCAAAATCCAACTTCACGGCTCAAGGTGATTATTGTTGTCAGTAATATTTTCAATTTAGGGTTTTAACTTTTAATTCTTTCATTTCAACTTCATCGCTCAAGGTGCTCTCTACAACGCTGATTGTTGTCAAACACTGATTTTGGTGTGAGAAAAGCTTTGGTTTCGTGGAGCTGTTGCATTTTGGTTATTTTTTGGATTTTATGTTGGAGAGAAGTAGAAGAATCTCTTAAAATGCTATTAAAGATGAGGATCATTTCTGTTCCCTTTGTTATTCAGAAACATGCTGACTTTGCAACCACGGGAACGTTATTGGCGAAGCGCTGTATTCATGCTGCAGGTTTTTATTGTATTTCTTAACCGTTTTTTCTGGGTGAGCATTCTATATTTGTTTGGTTCTTATTGTTCTATTGTAATGTATTTTCAAGGATCTTGCTACTCCAATCAGCGAGACCAGGATGAGATAAAAAAGGCGTTTCATGCCGTGAGTATTTGAGCACTTAATATGCTTTTAAGTTAGGGAATTACATTTTAATCATGATCGTAGGAAACCCCTTACTGTAGTGTAAAACATCTTCTGATGGATTGTTCTTTCTTTTCTGGCATCTTGCAAACACTATTAGCTGTCCTTTATGGGGTCAGTGGCTTAATTTTTCCCTAGCTCTTTAAAATAGGTGGCTTTAGTGTTTGGGTGAAAGTTATGTGGGCTACTTTTACTTTTAGGAATAGTTTTACTTGGGGGATCCTTAATGGAACTTGGAAAGGTACACCGGAGATGCATCTAATTTTACTAGTATTATGAATCTAGGGATATTTGAGGTTGGCAGCGTTGCCAGATATTTTTCTACCACTTATGCCATTGGGAAATCATGTCTGCACTGTGTTTAATGTGATTATCCATCATCTAACAGACCTTTTATTTTTATGGTTATCGTCTAAGATGTTGGCATCTACAAAATTGTGCAGCTTGCCAAGAAGTATCATCCAGATGCAAATAAGAATAATCCTTTTGCAAATAGTAAATTTCAAGAGATAAGAGATGCTTATGAGGTTTGTAGCTTTGGTTGGATTGTGAAGTATAATAATAATAATTATTATTATTATTATTTTTATTTTCTGATGTGATTTAGTCTGATAGTTGTGCTTTCTCTGTCCATTAGCATCATGATTGTTAACTTCTGTTCTTTCTACTAAAAATATAACTGATCTTGTTCTGACATGGTCCAACTAGCCCCAATTCTCTTTATGATGATTTGCTCATTCTGGTACATTGCAGATTCTGCGAGATTCTAAGAAGAGGGCTCACTATGACATGGTAACTACTCTTTTTCTTCTTTCTCCCTCTCTTTCTTTTCATTTACTTATGTATTCTTTTACTTCTAGTTTGTGATTCTATAGTCATTAGGTATCTTTGGTCTGTCTTTAATATTGTTTGGTGTTTTTACAGGAGGCACTTAACTTTTACATATTAAAGATTTCAAAATGTATGCATTTTGATTCGTGTGTCACACTAAAGGTTTCAAATTAACTGAATCATTTTTTTTATCCTTATGATTAATGGAAGGGTGAAGTAGAGGCTCGGAGAATGTAGACTATAATACTGGTGGTGCAGAGGGGATTAGATATGCTTATCAAACTCATTTCTCTTGTTCTTTCCATAAAACATTCTCTGAGGTCCTTCTCCTCTCCTGTTTTCATGTTTTCATCTTAATGTAGTCTATTGTCCTAAACTGTTAATACTGAATTTAGGAGAAAGTGGATGGGCATCAAAAAACAGTTTCATATCAAGAATCACCAATAATGTCTACTTATTTGGTGGCAGTTATTGGTTTGTTTGATTATGTGGAAGATCACACATCTGATGGTATGGTTATACTATATGTTCTGTTGACTATTTGGTGTACTATAAGAAATAATATTTTTGAAATATTAAGCTTGGATTAAATGTGTTAGTCAACTTAAAACTAAAATTGATATATTTGGTAGTAATTTATAAAGTTTGGCAGTAAAAAACACTAGGACATTTAGTGAGAAATATGGAACGAGATCTGTTAGTTGTCTCTAATATGATCTGATTTCCATGTTACTAATTTGATTGTATTTGCATTGAAATAACTTATGTTAATTGCATAAAGGAGCATTACTGAATATTGTTTTGTTTCTAATTTACGGGTGTCAAATTCAATAATACTATCACAGCTCTAATAATTTTATGATCTCAGGTGCTACCTATTTTCCCTCGTCTTGTTGACCTTCCATTAGAAAAGTTCCATATGGCACTTGCTCACATACTACAGGTGTGCATGAATTCTCTTGATGTGACTTCATAATTTGCTGTTTGGGTTCTGTTGGAATTGTTAAGACATTCAGGGACCCACTTGTTTTTGCCTACTTATTATAAGTGGTTGTCACATTGCTTTGTTACGTAATCCTTCTCAAATAAAAAATAAAGCCACACTGGTTGATTTTCTGATAGGAGGTAAATTTTGATTGATTTAAGTCACAGATTCAAATTCAGCTTAAAGTTTTAGATAATATGTAAGGAGTGTCTTGACTTCCATCAGAAGCATGGATGCTTTATGTTTAGACATTGTGAACAAATTGCTTGCTTTGATCTGTCGTAGTAGCAATGAGAGTTTAGTAGTTGTATTGCTAAAGCTAGAGTTCCAAGCCTTTATGTGCTTTGGATTTCTCGCTATTTCTCTTTTGCTTGCTTTCTAATTCTAACATTGAACTTGCTTTAGTTCATTTTTGGTGATCTTGTAGTTTTTTCTTTGTGTAGAATTATTAAATGCTATAATGTTTTCACATGTCATTTTGCCTTCCCCTTTGACTTGGAATCATGAAAATTGCTAAGAGGTCATAATTGTTAATGGCCAGTTTTAAATTGCTATATATTATAACATGCTATTTCACCTTTTCTATTGTCTTGGAATCGACAATTGCTAAGAATTCATAATTGTTTATGACAGGGTTCAGCTCATACTGGTCCAGCTTTAGTTCCGGTAGAAGTGTTGGTGACGTTGGGACGTCGCGAGAACCTCAATCTTGGCGAGGTTGAAAACCCCACTATGGATGTCAATTATGGTGAGGTTAGGATAAACCTCACTATGGCAAGAATTGTCAAAAATGCCACCTTGGTTGGTTAAGCCAATGATAACTAAAAGAAACCTCAAAGAGGAAGAGAAAGCAAGTGCTTTAACTCAAATATTTTGATAATGATAAGGGATGATTACAAGGGACAAAGCAAGACTCTATTTATAGCCTTCCAAGTGAAAAAGGTAAAACATATCTTTTCCATGTGGGACAAAAAGTCAATACAATTAATTTTTTTTTTTTGTTTTATGCTTCGACATTATTCTTCCCGAGTTGGAAGAGACTTGTCGTCGAGTTTCACGTCTTCATCATGTTCTCCGTAGTAAGGAGATAGATCAGCAACAAGCACAGAAGGTCGGCTAAATTTAAGGAAGGAGACTTAGTGTGGATTCATATAAGGAAGGAGCGTTTCCCTAAGTTGCGTACAAAGTTGTCTCCTCGAGCTGACGGACCATTTCGAATTTATCAATGATAATGCTTACAAGATTGAGTTCCTTGGAGATTATGGAGTTTTTGCTACTTTCAACGTTGTTGATCTATCTCCTTACTATGGAGAACATGATGAAGACGTGGAACTCGACGACGAGTCTCTTCCAACCTGAGAAGAATAATGCCGGAGCATAAGACAAAAAAGACCAAAAAAAAAAAAAAAAAATAATTATATTGACTTTTTGTCCCACATGGGAAAGATATGTTTTACCTTTTTTACTTGGAAGGCTATAATTAAAGCCTTGTTTTGTCCCTTGTAATCATCCCTTATCATTATCAAAATATTTGAGTTAAAACACTTGCTTTCTCTTCCTCTTTGAGGTTTCTTTTAGTTATCATTGGCTTAGCTAACCAAGGTGGCCTTTTTGGTTATTCTTGCCATAGTGAGGTTTATCCTAACCTCACCATAATTGGCATCCACAGTGGGGTTTTCAACCTCGCCAAGATTGGGGTTCTCGCGACGTCCTCGTGTCATGCAGATTGGAGTGAGTTTCTTCAAGCCTTTCCATTTCTTCTCAAACACAAATCAGGTGTACAAAACAAGGTAGCCGATGCCTTAAGTCGTCGTCATGCTTTACTTTCCACCCTACAGTTGAAGGTTGTTGGTTTTGAAGTTGTGAAAGAGTTATATGAAGATCCTGACTTTGGTAACATTTAGAAGTCCAGTTCTTTGTAGTCGAATGTCTACTCTGAAGCTTGAAATCCCAAATTCATTTCCTTGACCCCTCAGACGGAACCTAAGAGATTCATCTCGAGATAAAGAGTCTTTCCCAAATGGATTGGTACCCTCACCTTCACTGTTGGAGCTATTACTGATTTCATCATCTTGATCTCGTGTGACTCTCTGTCTTGCAAGTTATTTTTGTAGTTCTTTGATTTTGTTTCTTAATTCCTCAATTTCAACATCTCGAACAGTTCTCTGACGATTTGGAGGTTTTGGTGGCATTTTTGTGGTAGGGGTGATGAGGTATAAAAATCAAATAATTCACAGGAACTTAATATAGTAGTAAGTGTTATTATGGTTTAATATGCATTAGAAAAATTTCCAGGAAAGTGGAGGGGTCAAAAGCGGTCCCACTTTTTATCTTATGCTCTGGCGTTAGTTGGTTGCAATACATGAAATTGTTCTTGAGAGAGATGGCCTCGCACTCAAAAAAGCATGTCTTTTGCCATTCTGAACTTAATGGTCTTGGAACTTTACACTTTGGTTGACTGTGATGGTGATCTATAAACTACACATTCAGATCATACTTATTCTTCACATCACCCTCTTGGTCCGTAACTGTTTTATGCCTTTTCACCTAATGGATTGATTTTTGTAATATGATGTGTTAAGGCCGGAGAAAGCTTGTCCTAATTTGTACTTAAAGAAAATATTCAAACTGGAATGCAGTTCCCTAGGTTGGGCTTGGTAGAGTAATTAGTAGAATTCTGGGGTTTCTCGAGTTGAAACCAACCTGTTTTAGCTATGGTTGCTAGTCCAAGCGAAGGCTGGATTGGTGTTGCTTTAGATTGTTTAAGTTCTGATTATATAATAATGTCATTATGTTTGAGGAAAACACTGAAGTGTGTGCTTTTGGATCTACGTTTTATCTTTTACAGTTCTTGAGGAAAGAAATATACACATATGCGGAGATCGATGAAGTTAGAGGAGAATGGGCGATGTACATATCAAACTTTTTTTAGCTATTGATGTTCCATTAATGTCAAGGCGTCAATGAGGGAAAAAATATGTATTAAACTTTTGTTGAATGATATACTATTATTGTTGAATTTCGTTTACTTAATTAGTATGGTTTAAAGATTTTCAAATGTTTAAATTTATTTATGAATTGTGATAATTGTTGTTGATTGAGGAATATTATAAAGAATTTCA